GGATATTATAGAAAATATTTCGCACAAATCAATTCACTAACTGCTCTGTACACAATGAGTCAATCTCGAGATTTTTCCGACCAATTAGTAATATTATAGTCCCTGAGTAATGAAAGCATATGTACTACTACATAGTTTAATGTGAGAATTGTACAGAAAGAAGATACTAAAATCATCCACTTTCAATAAATCAGATCTAAACTACTGGTTGCATTGGATAGTATGTAGCTGATGGTGATGACGGGAAAATATCAGTGCGGACAGTTGTGACTGGTACTGGATGTTGATATGAAGTTGTTGCGTGTGAATATGGTGGGTTAGATGAATATGAGAATTGAGGCATAAATATTTGATGGGGTGAATAAGGATCCAATGGAGTTTGTGAACGCCATATTGATACTGGTGGTGGACCTGAAAGGGAAAGAAATAGCAATAAAATCAATTTTGGTTCGGATGTGAAGAAAGCATCAGCACCTCTGACTGTTGTTATCTCCGGTGACATTGTATCAGTATTTGTTTTGGTTCGATGTTTCTTCGACGTAGAACGTTTTATTTTTCCTATACTTCTGTTTGCTTTTGCCAACCCCTTTTTCTCTAGGATATCAATTGTCTCATCAGATGTAACACTTATACCATACGGTTTTTCAAGCTTTTTTTGCGTTACATCTGATGTTGTCGATATAGTTGGTTGAATATTTTTCTCCTTTATTTTCTGGATTGGATCAAATGGAAATATACCTTAAATGAGTAAAATTTATTAGCAAGACATTTCGCACACGTACTTCAATTGAAACAAATCTGCTTTCGAAAATCCGTTAGTACAATATCTTGGCGCCAATGCTTTATGATACGCAGTTTGTAGTACTAATGGGAAATCAGCATTTTCCATTTTCGTGTTATTATTAGCATAGAATTGTCGTAAAGCGAATCTTCAATCTAGTTTTAAATAATGGAATACAGCAACATCTAAAGGCTGTAAAGCTGTGGTGCGTGTGGGGGAAGACACAACAAATGGATTTGGTTTGCTTTAACTAATTTTGCTATACGTGATGATAAATGTGAATAATGCCCTTCAAGAATCAGAAGAATTGGTTTTGTAATTTGAGCCACGTGTGGAATAAACGGACGATCAAGCCAGTCGAAAAATATACTTTCGTCGATCCAACCGAATTCAGTAATATTGTACCGTGTCCCAGTCATTGTTGTTTTTGGACAATCTGAATCATTCGGCTGCTGTCTTTTTATACTCTTACCTAAACTTAAGTATATTATTACTCAATTAGCAGCAGCATTTCATCGATATTATATTGATGCGCTACAAAGCTAGCATTTCAAAAACCTAACAGTTATATCTGTTTCAAAATGCCTATGAAACGGCCATTTGCATACATAGTACATATGCTTTCATTACTCAGGGACTATAATATTACTAATTGGTCGGAAAAATCTCGAGATTGACTCATTGTGTACAGAGCAGTTAGTGAATTGATTTGTGCGAAATATTTTCTATAATATCCTATGAAATGTTGTAGAAAATAGGTTTTACTAAAACGTTGAAAACCCGTGTAATTTGAACGAGATGGTTCCAATTAGACACACATTTTGCTGTACGGTTCCAATTAAGCTCAGTGCCTAATATGCAACCATCTCGTTTTTTCATACACTAAAGTATTGGAAATATAACTTGGTCAATTTTGGTCCTACAAATCTCGAAATAGTGGCATTCGACGGGGCTCATTCTCCGGATTATGATCATATAAAAACTTCTTAGTTTATCTTACAAAATGTTGTAAAAAATAGAATTTACTAAAACGTTGCAAACTAGTGAACTGCATCGTAGACATTTTTGACTCCAACTCCAAAAATAAAAATATTCGAAACTCCAATTCCAACTCCAACTTTATAAAAAGAAAAATCGGAACTCCAGCTAAAACTCCAGAAAACTCCGATTTTTTTTCGATAGGTTAGTGACATCTTGCCGATTGTCGGGTTTGGAATGACTGATCATAAGATGAATTAATGAACGAATGAAATTATCTATCTTTCATTCGTATATATATACAGAATTTACTTTCTTTTTCTACTGATTTAACAATAGTTAAGAAATAATGTCTGATAAAATTTTAACGAAAAAAAAACTCGAAAAACTAATAGAATAGGGTCAGTAAAATTTTGTGCAAAAGAAGACAAAGTCAAATTCAAGTGAATGGTGGCAATTTTATCATAGTATTTTTGTGAACAATCATCAACAAGAATTTGTATCTTGCAATACATGTAAAACTTTATTATTCGTTACATCGAAAAGTGGTACGAATACTTTGAAAGTTCATTTCAATTCATGTGTGCGACAAAAAGATAAATCAATGGGTTGTCATCAACAAACGGTTCTTGACTTTTATTCTTCGTCAAAACCAAAACCAGTTCCCAGCCAATTGAAATCACGTGTCATACAAGCATGCACAGAATTTTGTGCACTCGATGGTCGAGCATTCGATGTAATAACAGACGATGGTTGTCAAAATCTTGCAAAAGTTTTATTTGATGCCGGCCGTTCAATGTGAAAATCTTCAATTGAAATAAAGGAACTTCTTCCACATTCAACAACAGTACGAAAAAAACTGTTGAAATGAACGAATTATATTGTTCAATATTATTTTTTTAGATTAGTCGAAATGTTACTCGTCTTTATGAAGAATATAAATTACATTTAGTGAACATATGTGAACAACTGAACAGTTTTTGTTTAGTGATCGTTCAAAGGACAGAAAGTTATACCGGTAAGACTATTAAATATTTTATCTCTTTAACAAAGAAACTGACAATTATCTCACTGTTTTTTCTACGTTTGTTAGGTACTAGCTATTGCGGTATTGCGCTTCGATATGTGGATGATAATTTTCAATTATTTACTTTCATTCTTGGTTGCTTTCCATATGAGGCAGAGAGTCATTCTGCACCACATCTTCGAGAATTTATTATTAAAAAATTAGAAGAATTTAAATTAAAATTAGATTTAACCAAATATGTAGTCAGTGATAATGAACCAAAAATGATTGCAACTTTTCGTGATCATTGTATTCGTGTGGGATGCGCTGATCATTATCTCAACAAACAACTTCAATATGCTTTCGAGTCACAACAATTACATGTTAATAAAAATGTTGTTGAAAAAGTTAATTGTGATATTGTTCAAAATTTGTTTAATCAAATTAAAAAAGTTGTTTGTCACATACGACGTTCACACCAACAACAAAGTTTATCAAAAAAGGTTGTCTCTTATAGTGAAACTCGATTTAACGGTGCTTTAATGATGATGAATAGTTTTCAAGAACTTTTTTTTGAATTACCATCAGCTTTAGTTAATAGCAATTTTATGAAGAATTACAACTTGATTGAAAAAGATTTACTCGATTGTGTCTGCAAGTTTCTGGAAC